CAGTGCTGCTCTGAGTGGGACAGGTTTTCTAGGTCCCCTGGGGTCTCCAGCAGTTCATCTGTGTTCCATATGAGCTCCTGGAAGAGGAGACACAGCGCTCACTGGTCATAGGTCAGATGGGCTGCCCAAAGACACTGTTCTGCACCAGAAAACAGACCACGGAGACTGTCTATTTGGGGAACAAAGGTGGATGGGCATCATTACCCCTGGGAATAGCAAGAATATTATAACTAAGAGCTAGTAGCAATAAGAGGGAAGTGTATTTTGTGTCTAAGAGTGTATATGAATACTCACCCTGGATATTCTCCCAGCCACTCTGTGAGAGGCAGGGCCAGACCAGGGCCATCTGTACTGGGGTCTGTGTCATCCTCACTAAGCCTTCCCTAGACCTTTGTGGGAAAAGTCTACATTGCCTTTCCTGGGTTCTTTCTTTACCTTGATGGAGTCATTAGCTGACTCTGGCTTGAAATCTCTGCCCAGTTTCTGAAGTTTGTCAAAGAATCGGGAGAGGCTCTGGGTAGAGAAAGATGAGGAGGTCAGAAAGTCAAGTGGGGTGGGGGTACGGAGATCAAGGGCAAAGGGACTGTGTGGAGGGATTTCCTGTTTCCTAGGATCGGCCAGGTGGCAGCATTGATGGACTCGGGGGTGGCAGCGGTGGTGAGGTAGGCCCAGGATCGAGCATTGTTTCGTTCTGCTGTGCATGGAGTCGCTATGAGTCGGTTCCGACTCGATGGCACCTGACAACAACAACAACAGTACCCACTTGGGCCACTTACCTGGCTGCTGATTCCAGAAGGCTGGGTCCAGGAGGAAAAGATCTCTATGGGGACAGAATGCAGTTCATTGGGTTGGAGGGTGTGTTTGTGTGTGTGTGCTGGGATGGGGGTGGGGTTCTAGCCTCAAGTCTGACACTTTTACACTTGGTAGTCACTTAGTTGTTTTGGAACCCAGGTTTGGGTGTTGTTATGTATTGAGCTATGTTCCCCTAAAATTTGTGTTGTAAATCCTAACTTCTATGCCTGTGATTATAATCTCTTTTGGAAATGGGTTGTCGTTGTTATGTAAATTAGGCAGAATCAATGTCTTTTGAGGTATAAAAATGATTAAACAAGTGAGTAGAGGAGAGATGGAGGAAGATGGATGCTAAGACATGGAAACCTCCAAAGAATCAGGAAGCAGAAGCTGAAGAGACAAAGACCTTGCTCTAGAGCTGACAGACAGAGAGCTTTTCCCTAAGGGTCAGCACTCTGAATTCAGACTTTGGCTTTCTAAATTGTGAGAGGATAAATTTCTAGTTGTGGTATTCCTGTTTTAGAAGCACTAGCTACTAAGGCTGGAGTCCTGGTATGGTGCTGTAGAATAAGAACTGGATTGCTAATTACAAAATTGGTGGTTCAAAGCCACCAGCTGCTCCTTGGAAAATTTTATACAAGGTAACTGTTAGTCATAACTGACTCAACATCATGTTGCAACAGCTACTAAGATAGGCATCAAGCCTCAGCCCCAGCAGTAAATGTGTTTCCTCAGTGTAGACTCAGTGGGAGGGGTTGTGGTACCATGTTGCCCTGAGCTGTACTTGCTCATGTCTGGGAACACAGAAAGGGTCAGGTCTTGTCTCAGCCTCGATCAGTACCCCGTCTCCTCTGTGCACTTCACCCCTTCTTCCTGGCCTTAGTTTTTCTCTAACCCCTTCCCTCCCCATGTAAGATGGTGCTACATCTCTGAGTGGACGTGGTAGGGACCATGGGAGTGTGGAGAAGGCAGATACTCAGCATGGGAATCCCTACAATGTACACGTGTGAAGGTATTGAAACACCTTCATCTCACTCAAAATTAGCTGCTGCCTGGGGCCCCCTCAACAGCCAGCTCCTACCCTGACGTTTCCTATATCTTTTCATTTCTAATCTCAGAGGGGTCAAAGTCTGGCCGAGCAGGGGACCCCCAGCCCTCATTCTGCTTGTTGCTCTGGGTGCCCTAGAATCTGTGATCAGATGCTTTGATGGAGAGTCTCCAGGATGTGGGATCTGAGCTCTGTACCTTCTTCACAAACAGTGTTGTTTGGGCCATGGGGTGACCCAGGTTTCGGCTTCCAGCCATGTCTGCAGACGCATTTATAGCCACCCACAATGTTGAGGCAGTGAGTGGTGGTGTGGCAT